CCCGGAAAGACATTCTCAATGCTCTTGGCCCCACGCCCACCGTCCAGCTCTGCAGCCCTCCCGCGACTCCAGCCTTTCACAGGCAGCCAAAAAGGGCCGGCCACTTAGCTGTCAGTCACAGTAACACAGCTGCCTGTGCGGGCCTCTTCTCTCTGACAAGGTGCTTTCTTTACAGTTCATACAGAGGGGCGGGCATCTCGTCGAAGAACCACCCCAGGGTTTGCCCTCAGTTGGGGGTGTTTTGGGCAAAGGCACGAACACCACAGTCCCCAGCCCCCACCCCAGTCAAGGGTGTTCCGCACCAGGCATCTTGGAAAGGACCTGGGACTCTCAGGGCGGCCGTGGCTCCCGGTCCTTGTGCCATAGGTGAGCCGGGTGCAGACTGCGCTGGTCCTCAGAAGCTCTCCACGAAGCTGCCTGGAAAGAGGCCAGTGCGGCCGTTCCGCTGCAAGGTCCCCTTGTACCAGCCGTCCTCGCGTTTCTTGTGCACAAAGACAATGTCGCCTTCCTTCAGTTCAATCTCTGCCTCGCTCTGGGGTGGGTAGGAGACCACCACGCGGTACCTGGGGGGAAACAGCACAGGGGTGAGCCCGCCCCACACAGGCCACGCTGCCCTTGGCTGGGCCACGGTGCCTGGGCCGCCTGCCAGAGCAAGCTCCTGTCTCTCTGCCTTTTTATCCCCAGGTAAAGTTATTCTAATTTGGGTCTACTTTTCCCACTTTATAAAATTCCTATTTATCTTTATTTTTCCAAAACTTTAAAATTTTTCATTTTATTAAAAACATTTAAAAAGACATCTCCCTGTAGTGTCCTTTTAGACATGGATCTACGACATAGCGGTAATGTTTCACCTTCTCGCTTTGTCCCCAGCCCCCAGCACAGCCCTGCACCTCACATGCCTCCGCCACCCTGCCGCCTGCCGCCCACCGCACACGGTGCCTCCCTCCAGGGACTGGGGCAGATGCTTCAGACCCAGGGCAGGGGGTGGGGAAGGTCGGGGCACTCAGCTGTGTTCCTGGTTTGTTCTGTCCTGGCTCTGTGACCCTAGCTCTCCCAGTGTCGCTTCCTCTGTAAGCTGGACCCCTCACCTGCGCCACCACTTCTCAGGTGGCTGAAGCCCCACATGATGTGTGAAAGGTGCTTTGAACACTGTTTTGGTAAAAAGTTCATTACTTTTTTTTAAGTGTACTCCAAAAATCATAAGACGTTGTAGCCTGAAGTGGCCGAGGTCACATCAACAAGGCCCAGTTTTTCCCAATCTCATTTCCACAACACCTGGGCCCCTCCCTGCAGACTCTAAGGCCTCCTTGGAATCCCTGTTTTCAGACCAACATGAATAAAATCAAGTCAGAGACAGGAGCTTTCTGTGTGTGGCCTAAGCCTGCTGGGGAATGGGGGTGCGCTGTGGGCTGGACCTCTGACCTACTGCAGACCCCCAGGGCCCTTCCAGGTGTGGCAGGTCCAGAAGGGCCGGTGGACATTCCCTGGATATGAGACCAGAGTCAGACCCTCTGGCTGACCCAGAGCCTCACGTCAGCACAGGGCAGGACTGACAAGCACCTGATGAAAATGCCTTCCTCGTCTGAACCCTCGCCGGCTCCTCTGAGCCCTCTCCTGACTCAGCTTCAATTTGGCCAATAAAGACTCGAAGAAGCACGAACACAGTTTCTAACAGCCTTAAGATGATCCTATCCCCCCTTAAAGTGCTTGCCTGAGAAACCTCAAGGATGCCCAAAGAATTTGCTGATGGTTCCAGCAATACCTGAGGATAGGCCTGCTCGCAGCCTCTGTGGGAGGGCAGGGGCCTACCTTCAGTAAGTGCCAGTAAGCAAACCCAGATGGTCTCTCACAGACCAGCAGCCCATTCCCAACTACTGTAATTTTTCACTTCCCTGACTCTCTTGTGACCCTGCTCACTCCCTCCCGACTCCCTCATTCTCCCTTGAAAACATCCTGTCTCTCCTACACAAATTCCACCAGTGATACTGTCCACTTTCATGAGTGTCGGCTGTGCTTACCTGTGACAGTGCATGCCCTGCTGTGCCACCCACACCTGTCCTGTCCCGCAAGCCTCAGAGGAGGGGAGCAGGTGACGTGCTCTCCCTGAGGACAGCTGTCTTCTAAACTGTCACATGTGCTTGTGCTGGCCAGGCCCACAGGAAATGCCTGTGCCCACCTCTGGCCCCTGAGGGCATGTTTGCATGACACCTGGCTGGGCCTCTGTACCCTCAACCCTCAAGGCTGGTGATGATTTGCAGAAGAGCTCAGAGATACCGTCCCCCTGGCAGCACCAGCGTGTTGGGGCTTGCAGTCAAGTCCAAATCCTAAAACCAGTGGGTTTTGTGGCAGGGAGGGTGTGGCCGTGCTCTTCCCCTGAAAACCCTTAGCTGCAAGTGACCACAGACCCCATTTTGCTGAGGCAGGCCGCCCCGCCTGGCATGCGCAAGTGCTCCAGGTGCGCCGCCCCGGAATGACTGGGCACCTGTCTCCCCAGGCCCAGTGCGCTCTGG